TCTCCAGGAGGCGCACTGCAACAGGGGACAGAGGCAAAGACATAAAACCCAAACCCACAGCTCCTTTTACAACAGGAAACCCTTAGGCTCATTTCAAATCATACATGGAGTCTATGATTCTATGGTTGGTTTTAAGGAAAACTTAAAAAAAACCATACTAAAGCTATAGTAGTGCTCAACTTCTTTGTAAGACTAGGTTAGTTTCTTAAAAGATGCAGATCATTAAAAAGAAAATCAACACACATTCTCTAGTATATTGACATTTGTGCAGCTTTCCTCCCCCTAAAATATTTTAAAAACACAAGCCCACAAACGACCTGCACATACACAATGTAGAAGTGCATAGAAAAATAAATCCTTCATCCATGTTTTCCTCTTAAATAATTTGCATTTTGCCTGACCTTTTTCTAGGTTGCTGATTTCTCCATGTAACTATGTTCAGCCTTTCCCAAGAAAGTGCCAATTCTACATGTATGTTTAGTGACTGAAAACTGACATACTCATTGTCCTAGACAAAAGCAGGTTTGGGGCGTTTTCTAAGGATCAATTATAGCTCTGCTAAGGTCACCTCTTACCTCATTGCCCTTGCCATTGTAAGTGTAGCTACTTATAACAACAGGAATTACCCCATATGGTTCAAAAAGATGAGAAAAGTAAAATATTCTAGACAACCCTCTCCCCAAAGTGAAAGAATCCACTTAAACTGGTCAATCACATTCAGCTTTACAAAGTTCTTTTGCATTTAAAAAACTGTTTTTATTTAGGAAGTGAAATTAAAACTTGTGAACTATAAACACAAATGCCAATGTATTACATGAAGTATCCAGAGGTACTTTATGGAATTCAAGAAACAGCAGGAAAACCAAACAAGTTCTGTATACAATGAAAATCAAGTTAGATACTGCCAATTTGTCAATTCATAAAACTTTCTACCTTACACACATGAAAGCTCTGAAAACTACAATTCATTTGTTAATGATACATGAACTGCTATTTTTAAGTTATTTACATTAAGCAAGCTGTCTAGACCATGTGTATTGAACCCATTGTTAACTCAGTAGCATAACAAACTTTCAAAATATTATATATATAGGTGATATAAATGTACTGCAAAGAGGGCCAAAAACTTGAAAAAAAGAGTCAAATTTCACACAATGTTTGTGTTAATATTTCTGTACTTTTTTCCCCAAATATCAAAGCTGAGTCACTGTTTTCACATCGTTACTTTAATTTGCCAAAACCATGTAACTCAATCTATATCAAAGAAGCAGAAGAGCAACTTTTAACAACAACTTAAAAAATTTATGCATTTTCTTGGGAGGAAAAAAGGGTCTATCCATTTTAGATATTACCTTATGTATATATATAAAAAAGACCACCAATAAGTTCATTAAATTTATTTTTAAATCATAAAGTATATCTTAAAAAAAGAGCATTACATTCTGTACACTGCTCCCAAAGCATGCCAAGAACATGGGGATGACCAGTCTTCTCCTCCCTTAAAAAAAAACTTTAAAAAAAAAAAATAATTTCAGTGTCCCTAAAGCAGGATGTTCACAATAGTTACAGAAAAAAAAAAAAAAAACCAAAACCACATTACAATTTACCACCAGCAATGAACAAAAATAAAATCCACTCTCTGCTGCTGTTTCAAAATTTCAGTTATTCTTGTGCGGCCTTTCCCTCCTCAATATTTGTAATGAACTAAAACATTACATCTGGTAAACAGCAGATTCCACTACACCTCAAATGCTGAACACATATGAAGCAGAGGAATGTTGGCTTTTTAAACAGAAGCAGATTATTTAAAAAAAAAAAAAAAAAAAAAAAGGGGGGCGGGAAGCAGATTAAAAAAAAAAAGGGTGCAGGACTCCTTCAGTTCTTCACTAGTCTTAGAAAAACTTTCCAGAATACTGCTTCACACTATAAAAAAGAAAAAATAATCTTGCATTAGAATCCTTCAACATCTGCATACTGCTTCACACTATAAAAGAAAAAGAAAAAAAGCATGTATTAGAATGATTGACCATACATCTTGCATCAATATTTACAATGGCATTCTTAAACTACAAATTCCCAGTACATTTAAAAGTAGCTAACTTAAAAAGATTAATGGCTAATAATTATAGGCATATTATTTTAAGCAAATTTAAATATTAGTAATCTCAAGTCAAACATTCAAGTTAAACATTAATAAGTGCTATGATAAACAACATGTTATTAAAGCAACACTAAACAAACTAAGTCTGTAACTGTTAATATTGACAGAAGAGAAAGTAATGTCAGCAAGGTGTGAAATGCTGCATAACAGCACCAAATGATTTCAACTTGTCCTGTAGAGGCATAGTCTGTGCCATATGGCAGACTGTGATTTGTTGTCAGTTATCTAAAAACAACAAAATCACTAGTCTTCCACATAGAACTAGACCAACGTCCACCGAAATCTTCTATAATTTCTACAGGTTCTATGTAATTTATTACAAGATTATTTTTTTTTTCAGCAATTTCCACCAGAGAAATGAAAGGACTGCTTGATTAAGGTGTCTTCCATCAAGATTAGTTTTGAGGGAATCTTCATTTTAGTTAGAAAAAATAAGAGAATCAAGACAGAACTACCACTGGTGAAGTTAGATTCAATAGTTACTTTTACTTAAATGCTGCCTTCTATAAAACTGTCTTGCAGAGAAGAGCTTTAGAATGTAGTAGTAGGAAAATCAGTTTAAAATTGACAGTAAGTACAGCATTAAACTTCAACTTGCCTGTTCTGCAGTAAATACTGAGCATTTTGTATCTGGTCCTGTGTTCCTGTAATAGTTATTATTCGATCTTCTGAGCCTTCTAGTGGTTCATCAATTTTGATTGAAGCTCCTGACTCATGACGTATTTGTTTGATTCTCTGTCCTCCCTTTCCAATAATAGATCCTGCCAACTAGGGGAGAAAAATATAGCATTCATTTATTGATATAACTTTCTCTGCAAAAACACAATAATGTTCCAGTAGCTTACATCAATTTAGTATTAAGAGTTACAGTGGAAGCATACTCTTTTACAGCCTCAAAACATAATCTGTAATGTTTATATAATAAACACAGGTGAGATATAATTGGAAGAACCAAACTCTTGTTTGTAAAAACAAGTTATGTAGACTATCTATTATTGAATATTAGCAATTAAAAAAAAAAAAGTTCAGTGCATCTCTAAAGTGAAGACAAAACAAACATCCTTAAGAATAAACTTTTGGTGATTTAGAAACACCTGCTTTATAATATAAGTACTTGTCAAGCATCCCAAATACTTTGGATTTATTTACATAGTCTAAGAAAAGGCAGTGAATTTCTACTTATTTATTTAATCACAAGTGCAAAGCAAGTCAGCTTCACTTACGTCTTTGGGAATCGTTACTTGTGTTGTGATGATGGGTCCTCCAAGATCTCCATATGAACCACGGCCCCCTGTGTAAGAATAATCTGATTTAAATGCATGCATCAAGCCTCTTACTGACTACATGAAATATATGTCAAAGTTCTCTATAAAAACTTACCATATCCAGAGCCACCCTCAAACTATAAGAGAAAAAAAAAAAACTTAAATAGCAAATAGCCGTGATTCATTAACATGTTTTCTCAAGTATCATACTGTTACCTTTGAGTCTATTTTATGCAAAAATCCTAACCCATAAGCTTAATTTAAGTGTCATTAAAGGCAAACTGGGGAAGAGGGAAGATCAGGAAGACTATTTAATGAGAACCTCTTAGCTTGCTCTATTAAAAACTTCAAGAATCAAGATCCAGTCATACCAGTTCACCAAGCAAACTTATCAATTCAGGTGATAAACAACTCTTGATGCTGATCTACTCCTGACCCTTGGACTAAACTAACATTCAAATCAAAAGATCAGAGTTCAGCCTTACTACTACCTATACAGCTCAGAAAAAAATTAACATCTCAGTTTGGGACAAGACATTTACCTGGTAACTGTCCACCCTCCTACTCCATCTATATCTTGAGGAAAAAAATCAAGCCAACTCTAACTTCATAATTGGTCTCTCCATTCAGACTTAGAAGGGACAATCATGACACTAATTACTGCCATTCTGCTAAAACTACCATATACCAAATCTAAATCACTGCAGTACAGCACTCCTGACTGCTTTTATTTTCAGGATTTGTAGACTGGTACTTGATATCAAGTGCTTAATTTGATCTAATGCCTTCTAAGTGCACAAACACCCATTTTAATATGTTGCCGTAGAAGCAGGGAATAGGTGTGCATGCTTCTCTAGAATTCAACTTATATCACTGAAATACAGAAATTTGTGTGAATTACTTGTGTGCAGAAGTTGTAATGCAGCAACTTTTTAAAAAAAAAAACAATTTACCTGCTAGCTTTTTGGAGCCACATCAAAATGTAAGCTATTCAGAAAAAAACTGTTCATCTGATCATGTTTCTAAGCAATCAGTGTTGTGCAATCACATTGCTTAGCAATACAGACCATAATACAACATAATAGAGTTTGTAGTGGAGTGCAAAATACAAAATAAAGGACACAACTTCGAACTTAATTCAGAAGCCAATCAGAGCTGCATATTCCACACACATACTCTTCCACCTATTTCTGTTGATATTTTGCACAGGGAATTCCTTTTTCAGGCTAAGTTGTTTTAACTAACAAACCTTTTCTTGACCCTTTCTGTTGCTTCTCCTCTCCAGACTACAAAACAGCAAATGAATTTGACAGCAGATGAGTAATTATAACTGCAGTGTTTATGTAAGCTAGGAACTAACACTTACTTAATATTTGGCAGCACTTTGCCCTCTTCCAGAGAGCATAAACACTTGCTGACACCCTTAGAACTTTCCTTCCTAAACCCCCTAGGAGTAAGAAGTTTGATAAATCAAATACTTCCAAATATATGGATAGGTAATGCATAAGTTTATCCACAACTATAAGTAAAGAATTATTTTTAACAGTCCTCATTTGAAACAGGGGAAAACACAACAGGATGAAGTTAACATAAAACATTCCTAAATAGATGCACTTACAGGGTGTTGAAAAGCAAGTTACAGGGAAAGTTACAAGTTAGAACACTAAAATAGGGTACAAAAGAGGCAATACAACAGAATAGCTTCTCTCTCTTGGTTGTGCTGCTGCATGCTTCTATTGTGGAACACTAACTGCCTGTATAGGATTCGCTGTTTAGGACAAACTGCCAATAACCCAAGTCAGGGAGATAGCTTTAGGGATTTTTCAATAGGTCAAGCTGCCTCTGACTAGATTCACTCTCAAGAAATTCCAGTTATCGCTTAACCGATTAAAATTATTTTTCTCAAAAATCAACTATTAAAACAGTCAAATAAAAGCATGAGCACACTCACCAACTCAGGTGGCTGCATGTCATCACAGGCATCCACATGACACTGCATCATCTTCCAGGCACAACATAATAGGAGGGACAGAGGAAATTAATCCAAATTAAATCTACATCACAGAGGCTTATAGGTAACTTGGCAAGCAAACACATACACACCGATATAGAGAAACATTTTTCTGCACTACTTAAACTGCTACAAAGACTCAAAAGTACATGATATAGATCAGATACAAGATTCATTCCCCTTTTACTTTCACTACAAGGGAATTGTAACTGGTCACACTTCTTTCTTCCTTGTTTCTGTGGTGTAAACATTTTCCTCTTACTAAGAAAAGCAGACAACTAAGGGGAGAGAAAAACTCAATTTGTTCATTTTACAACGCCTTTGAGTACTAGACCAGTACTATATACTAAAAGAAGTTACTCTCAAGATATGAAACCATTCTATTTCATGCATAAAAACCAACAAATAAACAAACAAACCACACAGAAAAGGCATTTAACAAAACAAGGAACTATCACTGATCTATGTCAACAGCCGGTCAGGCAGGAGGACATGGTTTCTCATATTTTGTTAATTCATTCCCATATACCCAATAGCTAAACTATCTACTACTGCCTAATTATTATTTTTTTTTAAATGTGAAATATAGCATTTCTTTTCTTTGGAATTCTACAACAAATGTTGGGGAAAAAAAAAATCAACAAACAATGATAAAAAAAGAGGTTTTAGAAGTTACTATTAAGGCAAAGACCTTTGCTGGGTTAAACCAGATAACACAACATGAATAGCACATTAGAATATAAATGCTCATTTAAAAAGTTCCTAAAATATTAGATGCAGGATAATTTAAGATAATACGTAACAATTTTCTTCTCTACAGACTCATTTGTGCTAGCTACTACTGGTAACCAATGGAAATGAAATTGAAACCAAATAAAACACTGGCTAAGACAAAGCACACAGTATTAATAAGAAATTATTGACTTTTACATCTAATAAAAGAATATGCATACGATCCTAACCAATAGAAAATTCCTTATTTTAACTCCTTTAAGGGATGGGCCTAGAAGAGTGAATTTTTGCTAATTTCTTTTAGTATTTATATAGATAAATAAGATGTCATGTTTCCTTCACTTTTTTTTTACATGCTCCTTCAAGTCAAATCACTTTAAACATGAAGTACTTATATTTTTTAGTGTATGTACTTTTATTGAAGTGCTTATACAGACGCAAATATATACATACATATAATGTTAAGAAATATCAAGTAGGAATCATTTGAATGGGCAAAACCAGATTCTGAACATATACTCTAGTTTTAAACACATGTTCTGATTTAGTTCTCAGTTAACCTCAATTTTAAAATATCTAGCATTATGAATTGAACATTTATAAAACAAATTAAAGGGGGTGAAATGCTAGGGTTTGAACCCCAAGCCCCTGAATTAAGGTTGACATATGGGTGATTCCCACAACCCTTCATAAAGAGGTGGTGAGTTTGCCTTATAGCTTCCCCCCAGGGTGCGGCCGGCCCTGCAGGGACAGCCATAAGGGAAATGAGCCCCAGGTGTCCTGCACTGAGTTGACAAAGGTCAGGTGTCCTGCTTGGGGATAAAAGCTGGGACCACTTGCAGGGAGTCAGGAGTGTCTGTCTGTGGAGTGCACTCCACAGAGCTTCCTGGTTCAGGGAAGACCTCCTGACTCTTCCTGGAGCTGGGCCCTGGTCTGTCTAGGCCTTTGCAAATACTGGTCGATCGGGTGAGAGTTGCCATGGGGGGTGCACCCTTGTCTTACGTGTTTAACTGGCTGGTCTGGCTGTTTCCCATACCAACTATGGGCAACCTCGGTTCACTGTTTGTACCACCTGTTGTGGGCCGAGTCATGTCGTTTCTGGGATCGTTGGGGGTGGCGTCGATCATGTACGAGCTTGTTGACTTGTTTGTACCCCTGGCAGTCATTCATATAGTAACATTTCTGTTTACAATACAGTCTGCATATTGGTTCATCTCCCTGCTGGTGTTATCATTTTTGTTGGGCCTGGTCATTGGCAAAACAAGGGGGGTGGGATTAAATAGCTTTATATGAACTTCTCCACCTTATCCCCCCCCTCCATGTTTTTGTGCATTTGTATATCTAAAGCACCTATGGAGACAGGAATGTTGAAAAATAAATAGTGGAAATGCATTTCTGTTTTCTCAGCTATCAAAATAGCCATTATGGTCCATGGGCATTTGATTTAGAGTAATTACAGGCTAGAATATATACCTCTGTAATAAGAGAAGCAATGCATGTATGTCCTTCAGTTAAGATGCCTTATAATAGAGATTTTTTCACAAAATATATATAAAAAATCCCAATTATTTTTTCCTCCCATCTTAGAATTTACAAAGCTGTCAGTATTGTTGCATCTCAGTAAATTCAAGTTTCACCATCCAGTCTTAGATCTTACATCTTACAAGTCTTTAACTACTGAATTTTTCCACCTTTAGCAGAGAGAAAAACTGTCAGAAAATGAGGATTTCTGTAGATCCAATATCTCAGATGTCGGTCTGAAAATAATCTATTCTTGTTGTCCTGGTGTGGGGTAGAACAGAGCTGGTTCTG